TCTAATTATTTTGATTCCCATTTCCAAGCCTATCAGTGGTGCAGTGGTGCAAGAAATCAAAATGCCAGTCTCCTGAATGTGTTAGAACCTAAAAGCTAACAGCTACTCATTTGCAGAGGCATCACTGCATGGCCCAAAGCCCCTGTCACCAGGCAATTTACATTCAGGGTTCTGGATGTGACTCGAGAGGGGTTTCCCAGCACACCAATACAGAGTATTTCATACAACATTTCAGATATGCTACAGGTTGTTGCATCATCTTATTTTGTCACAGCATAACTGACAAAAAATCCCCCAGCAACGCTTTGTTCAAAATTCGTCTCTTTCTAAAGACTCAAGTCCTTCTTCTTTGTTATTTTTCCCTTTCTTTTCTTAAAAGGCAAAAAATAGGATCATACAAGTTTATCTTCCCTTAAGTGATCAGAAGAGAGTCAGCAATAACCTGCCAAAACACCTACTGCCCTCTCAAATCAGGGGGATCATATGTTGCTCAGTAGCTGAATTTCCCTGCGGATCTTTTCTCTGCATAGAACATGTGCCCCTCTTGAATTACAGTCTTACTTAGATTACTAATGCTCAGCACCACCAAAAATATTCCCATTCATTTCTCCAGCTTTTACAAACATCATAACATGATTTGTGTTTAAATAGAAGAGTCACCATTTTACTTTTTATTATGAGTATCATATGTTTGGCAAGCTGTCTGACCTTCCTTATGATGATGAATGCTGCAGCAAACAATTTGCTGTATCTTTAAAGAAATGGCCAATTCAATTACATTATGCCAGAAGCTTTCAAATCCCTCTCTGCCAAATGTCTTTGCTATATCCTGCCACAGACAGCCCATTTGTATTCCAACACAGTAGGACACTTGTTTTGTTGAAGCACACAGTTCTAGTTAGGTACTATCAACAGAGCAGTATTTCAGTTCTCCAGCTCTGTGCTCCTTGCACCCCCTCTACCCTCGGTTATCAGGAATTTCAATTTTACTGACCAAACGTGTATGCATTACTAATTATGTGCATGAAATGCAGTAGTTATCGACTGCTACAACAAAATACATTAGTGGCCAATTACATGAGTTCTTGGCAGCAATGGTTATCATTCTAGTGGATTTAATCATTGCACTTAAAGTGAAGCTTGAGATTCCCTTTGAGATTACACCACTAATTGCTTCTGTTTTGCCAGTTACTGCATGAGCTGTTTGCAAAAAGGATCACTAAAGATGCTTTCTAAATATGGGAAAGCAGCAAACAGATGAAGCCTCCTGTAATGAGTGTCCACCCTCCTGAAAAACCACAGTGTCAATTTATTCATACCACAATGCTCCTCTCCCATTCCTATTCCCCCTGTCACCTCCTCTTTCCCTCTCATTTCTTGCTATTTGGGCAGACAGCAGCAATACAGCTGCATTGCTATTCATGTGAATCATGCCACACACTATCATTTATTTATATAGATACTCAGAATATTGTACTGCAAAAATAAAAAAAAAAGCTTCCCCCTCTCTCCTGTGTTTGCAGAGAGGATACTACTAATTATTATTATGATTATGACAGAATGTTTAAATTGTCTTAGACCTTAAAAGAAAAAGGAAAAAAAACCAACTTAGGCCAAGTGCATGATTTATTACATGTACAATACCATTCTAACATGCTTCCACTCTCCAGGAATTCCTAAAAACAAACACTCCCCCTCCTAAGGAATTTCTAATATAACATATTGTTCTTTAAAAGCCCACATCTACTTCCAGCTTGTCAGTAGTGATGAATTATCTGGTTTACAGCCTCATAAAGCAAAAGTGTCTATATATTTTAATGCTGAGGCCCACCTCAGGACTTTGGTACCTTTCATATGTAGTGATATACAATTTTCCAAACATGACAGAAAGGCTTCAGGTGAAACAAAGAGATATAATTGTCATCAACATTTTAGGTCTGATCAAAATGAGTAGTCTTTCAAAGACAAAAAGAATGGGGAAGGATTACAATTACAGTTTTGTTAGCTGAGAACAAACTATTTTAATCATAAAATTGTTTAAATAAATTTGTTTGGTTTCTTTTCATTAAAAATTTCAGCTACTAAAGCTTTCCATTATTCAAACACCACTCTGTGAACAACAAAGAAACACTCAAAAATATAAAAAAAAACCCCAACAATTCTCAATAAAAATTTTCTCATGAGGTTAGAAAACCTCCTATGTTTGTCTCAACAAACACCAACATTTTTAGGATTTCAATAGATGCTAGGTTGATAAAACTTTAATTAGAAACTTAATTGATCTCTGTGAGAGAGATACTGTAGAGAAAGTTTTAAATCCCCAGAGACTTCTACACTATAAACAGCAGAGCATATGACATCTTTAAAAGCTGTCAGAAACCATACACTGTGATTTACAAAAATAATAGCAATCTCTGTGAAATTAACTGCTAAAAGAAGTTGAAAAGCTTCATCCTATGCTATCAACAGGCTACAGCAACAACACCAGTCAGCTTCACTTCAGCCTCTAAGTACAGCACAGACCAATTCCTACCAATCCCTGGAAAAGAACAGAAGGCAGCAGAACGAGGTAACACCACTGATACATTTACTTATCACTCCTAGATGTAGATTTGCACAAAAGCAGTTGATCTTTCCAGAACGGCAGGCACAAGAACTGCTGCACACAGGATGCTCTCAAAACCAAGGCCAGTTCATTTTCAGAGAGAAAATGAAAGAAAATCTTGCCCCAAGGCACTCAATTTCAAGTCTGAATGAGAAAATCTGTAGGTGATGCAGTAACTACAGTAACTGGCAAACAATAAACTGGGTAAAACACCTAGAGATCAATCCTATATTCATGAAGGAACACACTACACAATTCAATTGGATTATCTCCATTTCTTAGTTCACTAGTTTTGACTTCTACCTTATTAGACAACAATTACAGACAATTTTCAAGTACAAAGTAACACAACACTGACACAGTATCTTTGTCACCATACCTACAGGTCCTCCAGTCCAGCAGAATGACTGCCTTTGTTTTGTATGGGCAAGCTTCTGTCTCATGTACATAGGCACAAAATCTAAACTACAATTCCAAGAAGACTGCAATTGCATCTGGAATTTCTAGTGCTGCCTTTCAAATGAGGAATCGGGAACAAATCAGGAGAAGAAAATATTCCCAAAATGAACAGCTGAGCTTATGCAGCACCCAAAATACAAAAGGTTGGGAAATAGCTGTCTTTCATCACTGTCAAAAGCAATAGACTAAAATATGCAGAATAGGACTGATAACACAGGAAATAAATGAAAACATTTGCTTCATGTTAGTATAGAAGCTAAAAGAAACAGGGCAAAAACCTCTCTCAAAGGTCCCTGCTGGATTTAAAACAGAGCTGTTGAGCAAACTGGGATTTCAAAACATGCCACTATCATTTAAGAACACTGAACTTCTCTTCTTTAATAAATCTTACACCTGTTCACTAGTCCAGAGACTTAATTCCTAAAACCATACACAGCAAGTGCAAGGCAAGGAACCAGAACTTCAATGAGAAGTGCTAATGCACAGGAAAGCAACCAGTTACTTATAAAACAGTCTCAGGCATTATTTGTAATTCACCTAACTTACAAATAAAAGAACTATAATGCTAAATGCTACCATGATGTACTTCTCAATGAATTAGAAGTCTTATGTGTGCAGAGCTCACAAAGCCTGGCAGATTTTTAGGTTACATATTTAATTCTCTTTAATATTGAAAGCAATGAGAGACATTTTTGTCTACTACTCTACTGCAGGGATAAACACAATAAATACTCTAGCAAAATGAAATACACTTTTTTATGCAATGATGTGATGGATATAAATTTGTAAGTTCATTAATTAAGTAGAAGAATATGAATAAACCACGTCACAGATTTGGAAAAAACAGCACTGATAACAAGTTTAGACCAGATTAAATTGAAAGACTTTCAGCTGGTAAGTATTTTTTTTTCAAAATTTATTGTAGATACCAGTAAGGATATTCATTTTAGTAAAGCTCTCTAAAACCAAAGATAATTCTTTTAGCATGAGAAATGCCAACAGGAAGAAAGGCTCCACTCTGGCAATTGTTTCAGAAAACTCAATTAACTTGCCCATTTAAAAAAATATGTTACCAGTAGAAAGACGTTTCATGCTATAAAAAAAATTATCTGCTTATTAATATTACAGACATTTCATATATGAATATGTATGATTAAATAAATGCATTAAGTAGTAAGTAACACATCAACGTACGTACCTTTTCAACATGTAAAATAATTTTTTGCAACCAGAATAATGCTTGGGTTGCCAGGAAAGAAAGCTGGGTGGATAAATGGAAAATACTCTTCCTGCCTTTCAGAAAAGTGTGTAGGCTGGGTTTGGGACTGGGGGACTCCAGATGCCAAAGAATGTCTACCACATGCCCCATCCAAGCTGATGAAGAAAAGCTGTCCCTGTCCTGTTTTAGTGAAAGCAAACCCCAATTAAGACAATAGTTTTTGTCTCAAAAAACAGCCCTCATGAAGTGAGCATTCATCCTTTCCAAGACAACCTTCCACAAGGTCATCTTCTCAGCCTTCACCCTCTGATGACCTCATATTTAACCTGGCCTGACCTTCAGTTCTGCTGAGTCTCAGTTCCTTAGTATGATTACAAACCAGCAAGATCAATTTAAGCTTTAAGAAACTCAGACATTAGTCTGAAGATAAATAACTGCAAAGGCAAAACATCAAAATACCAAGAAATCCAGTTTATAAGCTATGTTTCAGTCTATAGAGACTTCAAGGGCAGCAACAAAAACAACAAAAACAACAAAGCACTGAAGGCTCTATAGCACATTCCCTCCCTTGCAGGTACTCTACCACTTCTGGTCTTTGTCAGTTCAAAAGCCAAACTATTGTCTGAATTTACAACTGCAATTAGGCATGGAGATGCTGAAAAATATTTCACAGTCTTAACATTTTGTAAAGCTGATTTCCACTAAGTATTCACTTACTCAGGTGCAAGAACAGTCAAGGTCCCCAGTTTGCCCCAGATTTTCCCTTCAGGCCAGTGTTATCCTTAGGTACCTGTGCACAATAAAAAGAAACAAATAAAACATTAATTTACATTACTCCTCATAAGTTCATCTCTTGATTGTATCAACTTTTATGGCCCCAATTTAAGAATTCAGATCTCCAGTTTTTCCCACAGGATTATTTCCCATCAATATGGTTAACCTGAAGCAAACTCAAAGCTGTTTTCCCCATGTAAAAAAACGGGGTTTATTTGATGAGTATATATATATATATATATATATATGGATTTACCATGACCCTAAATGAAAGAGTTTTCTGTAAGAAAACTCATGTAAATTCATCCTAATAGATGGTGGGATTGCATGGTTTAGGTATATTTCATCACTTGTTTTTAGGAGTATAAACAGAGAACACACTGTTAAGCCTTTGTTAGCCACATATTTAAACTACCTTAAAGCTGTTAACATGTGACAAGCAAATCCTACGTATTCAATTACTGCTTTAAAAATTGAAAGAAGGTTCGTGTACAGGTGCACTGTCAGTTAAGGAGCTCAAAAAATAGAGTTATTCTTTCTCCTGGCACTAGTATGAATTTAAAAAACATTTTCAAAATGTGCCATTCAACCATATGGAATCAATTTTTGCAGACATATGGAGCGCCAATTAAATAAGTGTGGCTTTGCTGACACAAAAGTCCACCTGCATGTATTCAAATTTTCCAGAATTAGACCATCTAATTTAGAGCAGCCCATTTAACAGTAAAAGAGTAGAAAAGCAATGTATTTGATATGACACAACCTCTGTAACCAGTCTCCTTAAATAGAAATTGCAGCCTTACTTTTGACCATGGTAAGGATATAATCAGACAAGATTGAATTAGCTCCCCTAAAATACAGCTCCAATTACATCAGATCAAAGGAAAATAATTTTTTGTCTTCTCCATCATGCAAGTAAATATATAATTGGGAAATTAAGCAAGGTACAATTTTTCAAAGAAGATTTTACCAGAAGTCAACAGAAATTAAAAAACTGATTGTAACCTTACTTCCCAGATTTTCCTAGGTTTTTTGCAAATATTTTCCCACAAGAAATGTACAGAAAGCATGTCATTTAAAGAACCAGAGGTCAACAAGTTATATACACACATCAACACTCTAAAATCCTAATGTAAGATAGGTATCCAATGATGTGGGAACTAACAAATTCTTGAGGTAAGCTCTTCAGAAGTTTTTTCTGGTTTTTTTCCAAGGATTTGCAGTTAATTGGGCACCCTTGCTCAAATCCAGTTTGACTGACTTTGTATTAGGTGATAACACACAGGTTTTTTTCCCACAGGACCCCAGCCTCATTCAGTGAATACAGCAGCTAAAAGAGTCGTGAAACTCTACCCAGTGGCTGCACTCCACATGGTCACACACAGCTCTACACCCTCACTGCTCCAGGTTACCCTGTGCTTTCCAGAACAGCACTCTGAGGACAGAAATGCCCTTTCTGGGACAGAGCTCCCTTTGGTGCTGCCAGGTAACAACACACCCCTGCCAAGGGCTTCATGTGATCCCAGAGACAAGAAAACTTCAAAATCAGGAGCATTACAAACTTTGCTGTTCAACCAGGTTCCTAAAACTCATTTTTTCTGAGTATTTAGCTTTCTATAATACCTTAATTTGCTGGAGAAGCTGTATCCACCTAGTTTCTTTACTTAAGGTGACACGTCTCCCCTCACTTGTGAGCTGCCCCGTTCACTACCTGTCTTAGGGTTTCCACAACAAATAAAAGCAGGTTTCCCGAGACCTGTCCTTCTTTGCTGCAGTCTTCATACACATCTGTTCCACTTGGAAAGACCATACAATGCTGAGATCATAGAATTTAAAACTGTATCATAATGCAAATGTCCAGGGGAGCTCAGTTAACATATTTTAGACAATCTTAATTCTGTGCTTTCCCAGCTTTGCAGGACTTGCTCTTTGTAGCTCTTTACTCAAGGCAGCTTTCTGAACTTGGTTTACTTAAGACATTAGCCACTGAAATGGAGAAGCTCCATCTCGCTCAATACAGATATTCAGTCTCCCTCAAAACTTCTCATCCAAGCCTCATGATTGCGAGTCCTGTGGACATGTGCTACTGCCCCCATCCACTCTTGTCTTTAGGCTCAGTTTCCTATTTGGGATCCCAGTCCTGCTGTTTCAGTGACCACTTCATTCTCAACAACTTCATTATACCATATATTGCTCCCACCCCATAACCAGAGTCCCATTAGCTTCCAGCTCTCCTGTACCAGCATTCCTTTTAATCTCTCAGCTTTCTGCACCCTTCACAGATCTCTTCGTTTTTCCATATCACTTTTCACCTTCCAATGTTTTTCCCACTTCTTTACTCCCCCGCTCACTTCCTGTGCATCCCTCCTGCCCTGGCAGTTTCCAAATTTCTTCTCAACAGCTAAGTCCATGTGTTTTCCTGGTTCCTATGCAGTCTTTATGATTAGCATGCTGCAGCCATGGCTGCTACGCTTTGTGCAGAACTCACTTCTAATGACGGGTGTTAAAGAGATCTGTACAAGGGCTAATGAGCAGGAACACTTAATTTCAGGATCCCAGAAGAACTGGGGCAGAAGAAAAGCCAAACCAGCAGTGCAGAAATAGAATTTTAGGCATTTAAATACCTCACTACAGACTCCTATATATTTAGATGTCAAGGCACCTGTATGAAGCCTTTGTGGACTGTAGCTACTTCTGTCTTGCTGTTAGATTAACACCATCCACTCTTTTAAATTTAAAAACAAAATCCTTCTACAATGAACCACAATAAAGTTACTTAGAGTCTAAGTCTCAACCTAAACTCAATCTACATCTAATATAATAGCAAGTTACTTATACTTTTTAAAACATTTTTTCCAAAGAGAAAACAGCCCTTGATTCAGATATTAAGTACTGTGGGAGAGGGGGAAAGGGGATTTAATTAAAAACAGGGTTTTCTTGGCATTATTTACCAAGGATAAGTGTTCTTATTATTATTCTACAGAAGAAAGTAGACTGTAGCATACCTTCATCTACTTTTGCCATAAAGTATGAGCTAACCAAAGACACCTTCCTATTCTGTCTCCAACTTCTCTGCCTTTGGTGTGTGGGTGGGTTAAGAGCGCTTAGGCAGAATTTAAGATGATTTTAGAATATTACAGAATACCAGGTTGGAAGTGACCTTTTGAATCGTGTGATCCAACCTTCCATGGCAGAAGCACAGTCTAGGTAAGAAGGCCCAGCACCGTGTCCAGACAAATCTTAGAAGGGTCCAATGCTGAGGAATCCACAGCTTCCCTGGGAACATTATTCCCATGGCCGATTGTTCCCGTTATGAAAATTTTTCCTCTCGTGTTCCATCAGAATCTAACCAAGAGTAACTTTTAATCATTACCCTTCATCTCTTCCACGGGACTCCTTGTAAAAAGGGAGTTTCCACCATCCCTGTAGCCACCGAGCCTTCTTTGCACAAGAGCGGACACACTCCATTCTCTCAGCCCTTCCTCACGTGGCAGGTCCCCAGCCCTTTGCTCATCTTTGTGGCCCCTCTCTGGACCCTCCCCAGCCTGTGCTCACGTTTTCGCACAGCGGGGACCAAAAGTGAGCACAGCACTGCCAGTGTGGCCTGGCAAGCACGGAGCAGAGTGGGACAATGACTCTTAACTTATCTCTGTTGGTGATTCCCCTGTTGCTGCAGCCCAGCACCCCGCTGGCATCCCTTGCCACAGCAGCACAGTGCTCTCTCACGTGGAACCCTCTGCCCCCCAGAACACCCACGTCCCTTTCCATGGAGCTGCCTCCCAGGTGGGTAGATAGATACTTGTGCAGCCTGTGCTGCACTCCTGGAATATGGACAGATCCCTCCTGTGCTACTACTGTATTACTGCTACTGTGGCCATTTAATCAGAGCATACTTTACTTAATGAGTACAGATGAATGATTCAGTGCTAGAAGTTTTCTGCTGAAGAGAATTTTCTAGTACGTTTTAGTTCTTTCAACATTGAATCTAAAAAGAAAAAATATCTCCCTGATTTAACTGAAAAAAAAATCTGTAGAATAGTTACTTTTTAATATTTAAATAGCAAATTATCAAAAATATTTAGGTACACTACAACAACATAACCTTTCCACAACCCTTTTTGTGTCCAACATAAAAAAATTAAGTACAAATTTAGTATCATTAATCAACATAGTATTTACAAATAAATCACTCATTCCTCTGTTGAGCCATATTGAGTTAAGTACACTTTCATGCTAAAGTGGTATCTAATTATCTTTATTTGATCCCAAATGCAACAGGGAAATAAAAATGTTCACGATATCATGTAAGATGGTATTTTTTCTTATTTCTTCTGAAGAGGTCTCAGACAGTCACATAAATATATTTAATTCATAGAACTGCTTGTTCTTCCACTTCTTATATTTCCTGCTGGTGTTGAGGGCAGAAAGAGATTTAGTTATCCTGACTCCCATTCCCAGTATTGCCTGACGCAGGAAATTCACCACTGTCACTTCCCATGGAGAATGGAGGACAGTCAATATGAATCATGCTCTGGGAACTGGGCTTCAAAACCTAACTAATGCAATGACTACAACTCATACAGAAGCCAATTGTCACTTGGGATCTGAGACATTACTCCAAAGTTGGCATTCTGAGTATCCTATTAATCAGTATAGTCAAATGGGTTTGCTAGCTAGGAGAACAGGAAATTAATAACACAGCTATTAGCAGTAGATTGATTCTGAATTAAATAAATACAAAAAACCTAACACACACATAACATGAAACCCCTCAAAATACAAAAAAAATCACTGGTAAACTGATCAAAAAGCCATAGAACAACTCTAACTACTTGCCTCCTTTTATTTTAGGAAATCTTTCTACTCTGATTTTTTCCCCTCCTCACAAGTTCCTGGCATCCCTTGTACCACGATGTTTATATTCTAGTTTCCATCACCAGTGACATGAAAAATACACTTAGCTCACACCCACACATAGGTCCTTGCCAGAAAGCTCAAGAGAATAATTTACAAATG